TAGAGCTCTGAATACATATGTTAACCGGGTTATCAACTGGAGAAAGAGTGAACAGTTACTGGTCTGCTTCGGACCCTCAAAAAGGGGGAGTCCGGCAAATAAGCAGACAATAAGTAATTGGATAGTTGAGACTATCTCATTTACCTATCAGGCTGCTGGACGCCCTGCACCTAAATTTGTTAAGGCCCACTCCACAAGGGCTGTCGGGGCCTCCAAAGCTTCTATTTCGGGCTCAGCCCTTTCTGACATTTGTCTGGCGGCAGGATGGTCGACTCCACATACATTTGTGCGTCACTATCAACTCGATGTAGACCCCTCACCAGGGTCCTCTATTCTCACTGCGTAGTGTGCGTTCACAGTCAGCAGTGAGTCTGGCCTAGTGGGTATTGCGTTCCCCTAGCGTTCTGGTTAGACGCAGTGTTGAAGTTCCCTAGAAGGGGAACGTCTCGGGTTACGTATGTAACCATAGTTCCCCGAGAGGGAACGAGACACTGCGTATTCCGCCATACTCTCTTCTGCCTGTTACTTCTTTCAAGCAAATTCGAAGTTGATACTGAATGCTCAGTACAGGCTTTTATACTCTCTGGTCTGACGACACCTGCTTAATTACATTAGATTGATTTCACATGTGCTTCAAGACGCGTATAAAAGAGGTGTTCCCCTAGCGTTCTGGTTAGACGCAGTGTCTCGTTCCCTCTCGGGGAACTATGGTTACATACGTAACCCGAGACGACATCCCTTTCATACATTTTCCTTTTGCATCCATAGTTACACTTCTTGGAGGTGGTTTGTCCTTCTTGGGGGTATGTTGACATTACCCTGGACACTTAGGCTCTTGAAACATCACAAAGATTTGCTGCCTTTGTCACAGATGCACTGGAGAGATGCGCACCAGTAGTTTGTTTTCTGTTGAACTCTGATATATTCTGTGCATAGCAATGTTTTTTTAACAAAACTATGTTATTAAACTGCTAATTAAACTTTCACACTCTCCTCTTATGTTTGGAATGCGTAATCAATAAAGACTGGCCAAATTTAGCCATTAAATATTACAATAAATTGGCAAGTTTTCAATTATAGTCTGGGCTTGACATTAAGTTTTTTGATCATCAGCCACTTTGGTCACTCGCCATTTTCACTAGCCACAATTTTGTTGTTGAGAAAAAAAATATTTTTTAGGCTCAAATTTGACTTTTGCATGCTACAATTTTTTTTTTCAAAAGTCCATATGTCTCCTCATTCATTTAACTTTTTGTGTGTTGTGACCTTGCTCAATGAGTGTGAGAAAATGGGTTGTGGTTTCATAGTGTCGCATTGCAATTAGTTTTATTTCACATGACTTTTTAGGGCTCAACAATTTAACAAATTTTTCTCTTGCCTCACCAAACTAATTGTTTCCTTGCCTGAAGTTTTAAATAATCTGTCAAAACAAGCCACATATAGCCGTATACACATTTTATTAAACAAAAATGTTATTAAAAATTGACATTCACAAAAGAGTCTTGTATTTAAAACTATGCACAGTATATGTCATAGTAAAGGATGATAATTAAGCCATATTAAAATAACTAAGTAAGACAGCAGGTTAAAAACATACCATGTGCAATAATGAAAGGATGACCACAATTAGTGTTAAGCCCGTTAATAATCTGTTCAAGAAGTGGTTAAAATGAAAGCGGCAATCGCTGCTGCTTACAAGAAATCTTGAACTCTTGAAAGCAGCAGGACAGTGGGTGTGTACAAGCATTGCTCTTTTCCTGTCTTTTTCAAAGCGAACCAATCACACCAGTTGTGTTTCCATACACGGTTGCTACATGTAACAGGAGTGCGCCTGTGTCTCACTTTGCGTGTGATCATCCCTTTTTCGGAATAGTTATTTTAACAGTTAGTCGTGCTGCTTCTCGATTTTAAGATTATATTTGCACGCATGTTGACAAACAGTCATAAACTATGACTCTAATCTTTAATGACAAGCCAGCACTGGCAATTTAAAAATTATTTTTAACCAGCCAAAGTGACTAGTGGGTGTGACTATCTAAAACCCGCCACATCTGAAATTTAAACGCATTTGGCGGGTTGGCTGGTTTAAATGTCAAGCCCTGATTGTAGTTATATTTTAGTTCAACAAATTGTAATTTTTTGTATAGTTTTTGTTTGCCATAACAACACTTAGAGTGTATTTTATACGTAAATATTTAAACTTAAATATTTCAGTAACTTTATTTAGGGAGATTAACAGTACTTAAACACGTTCCATGCACTTGCTATAGTAATTACTGTACATGTAACTAACCCTAAACCTAACCCATATTCTAACCCCAACCACATATTAAAATTAATGCTAGTTGGCAGTTACACGGTAACTACACTTCTTAAAATAAGTGTAACCATTATTTCAGACAGAAAAACATATTTGATATTTGTAGTGCACACTTTGCTTAACCCATATAATTATATAAGGTTTGACTTGCTGACATCTTGTTCTGACAACCAAACTGGATAACATCTGATCACTAAAAAATAAAAAGAAGCGGAAGAGTTACAGTCGCTGATGTTCAACTGCAAAACAGCTGTGAAGAGTAAACGTCATCTTATGCTGATTTTGTTGCTCTTGTCAGCGGTTATAGATCCGAATGCACCTGTGTCATATTAAAACATCCGCTAATCACACACGCAGACACACAAACACTCAAGAGCGCTGCGTCTATCTGCCTCTCCTTCAGTCTGCATTGAACACTTCAGCATCTCTCAGACTTCCTGAATATCTCAGATAGGTGACTAAATACTGCTGAATGCAAATCCACACACACACAGACGCATACAAACACACACAACAGCGCCCGCAACCTTTCCATCCCCCAACCGCTGCATTTATGCCACGCTTCATTCCAATGATTCCCAGTGTAAGGCAGGAGTAAAAATATCCCATGTTCTTGCACAAGTATCAGTGTCTAATCTACTGGCTCAGTTAGAGTTAAACTGATCAACACTGAAAGTTGAAGAAAGATCACATTGAAAGTTTAAAATAAGTGCTATTTGCAGGTTCATGACACTGCTGGAACTACATTTTGATTCACGGAAACCTCAAGTAGTGTTTCATAAGATAATCTGAGTTCAAACGTGAAGAAGACTGAGATTGGATGATCCCAAAGCTCATTAATCATCTGTACAATAAACTCAGGCCAGTGTGCATCTTGGCACTCTAATGGCAAGCTGTTGTATCATTTAGGTTCCATTTCATATGTGCACTTAATATGTACGTAGTGTATGTACTAAAGGAAGTTCTAGGTTATATAAGGTAACTACATGGGTCAAGGTTAGTTTCAGGAGTAGGTGTAGGGATGGCTAGTTATTACACATTTTATGCAATGTCAGTGATTATTACATAGTAGGCTATGTATATGTGTAACATGACTTAAAACTTAAACCTCTTAAATTACTAGTCATAACTGTTGTTTACATTTTAAATGACTAGTCAGGATGTTCACAGTGGAGTTAAATGAAAATCCTATTGTAACACATCATCTTTGGAATCTATTCTGCTTCCATATTAACAGATAATTACTAAAATATTGGCTGTTAATTAGTAGTAAGGATTCATGCCTTATGCTCTTATTAATGCTCTTAATCTACCATATACCTATATGTAAACCTAACAACACTTTAATAACTCTTAATAAGCAGGAAATTAGATGTTTCTTATGGTCATTGTTAATAACTAATTACACTAATAACTAGTCAGTGTAAATAAGGAGTTAATAGTGTGAATTTGTCTCCCAAACTAAAGTGTGACCAAAAACAAAAAAAACAACAAAAAATGTGTCTTTAAATAGTATGTACTTCATATTAAAATATGAATACAATGTACTTACTGTGTTCATAATGTATTGCAAATCATTTCTAGTGCTCTCGAGGTTTAAGGGTGGGTTAAGGTGTAAGGGATGGTCAACAGTGTAATTAAAGATGTAATTACAGAAATTAATGACAGATGTAATTACGTTTGGGTTTTTAATGAAGCATAAGTAATGTACAAACATGTATTTACACAATAAGTACAATAATTTCAGTGTACGTATATATTAGTTAAGGCCACTTAATATAAAGTGTGACCAAAAAAATAAACAAAAATAAAAAACAATATATAATACTGGTGGGCGACACAGTGGCGGAGTGGGTAGCGATGTCGCCTCACAGCAAGAAGGTCGCTGGTTCAAGCCCGCAGTTGGCATTTTTGTGTGGAGTTTGCATGTTCTCCCTGTGTTTGTGTGCTCTGGTTTTCCCCACAGTCCAAAGACATGTGGTATCACGTGAATTGATCAAGCTAAATTGGCCGTAAGTGTATGTGTGGGTGTGAATGCAAGAGTGTGTGGGTGTTTTCCAGTACTGGGTTGCAGCTGAAAAGGCATCCACTACATATACACATCCTGGATAAGTTGGTGGTTCGTTCCACTGTGGCAACCGGTGATTAATAAAGGGACTAAGCCGAAAAGAGTATTAGTACTAATTAGATTAGTATTAGCATTAGTATCATGAGTGTCTAATTAATAAGTATTATCTAAATACGGCCTAGTATCTAATGAATAAATACGAGCATGCAAGACTAGTATAAATACAAACATTATCTATTCAATACATATAAGTATCTAACAAATTATTATCTAATGATTTAGTACTAATATCTAATAATTGTAGTAGTTTGTAAAAAGGGAATCCGCTGCAAAAGTTGGCGGTTCATTCTGCTGTGGGGACCCCAGGGATTTAGCCGAAAAGAAAATGAATGAATGAATGAATGAATGAATGAAAAAATATGTACTGATTGCTGCTGGAACTGAATAGTTGAAGACAGGTCTTATTCATTTAATTTTGGATATGCGCATATAAAATCGTTGATGGAAACGCCAAGATGCGGATAAATTTTGAAAATAAAAACTTTTATTCACTAAGAAAAGATGTGCATAAACTACAGTGGGAACAATTTAGTTTTTGCTGTTGATATTTGACCCCAGTTAATCAGGAAGTGACGATTTTGTTCTCTTTGACTTGTTAGATGGATACGCTGCTTTATCCACACATCTTTAATGCAATATTCCAGTTTTGCACATTCATTTAATTTGCATTTTTGGATGAAAACATAGCTAATGACAGATTCCCAGAAAAATCAAGTTTGATATTTGTTACTACTAACAGCAAAATAATTACAAGGCAATGCTGAGATAAGTAGTCACATTTAAAGAATAAGTACTTGCATCTATTTAATAGGCACAAGTATGGAACAAATAGAAATAGCATCACAAACGTGCTATGTAATGAATAGGTAAGTACACTGTATTAGGGTGTCCTTGTTACAGTGAAAAAAATATTTAACTACTTGAGTAATATTTATTAAAAGTACTTTAGTACATTAGAATGATGATTAGTATTACTTGCATTTATACATTATAATTATAATCGCTACAGCAAGTACAGGTAACAACAGGGACACCTTAAAATAATGTTTTACCCTAATTTCTTATGAATAAGTCTTGGTATGTTCTAGCTCTAAGGGAAATAAAGCTGTAGCTAATGATTAAGTACTTGTTCTTAATAGAAAACATTGCAGCATTTAAGACATAACTTGTAGCATATTTCCCAGAGATGGGTTGCAGCTGGAGGAGCACCTGCTGCGTAAAAACTTGCTGGATAAGTTGGCGGTTCATTCCGCTGTGGCGACTCCATATTAATAAAGAGACTAAGCCGACAAGAAAATGAATGAATGACTTGTAGCATACTACATTGTAAAAAATACAGGGTTTCACACAATTCGTTAATTTTGTCTCAACACACATGTATTACGTTAACCTAACAAATTTAAGTGGATTAAACATAATAGAATTAAGTTGTCCCCAATTGTTTTGTTTTAGCTCATTTTAAATAATTAGCTTGAACAAGCAGCAACATTTTTTGAGTGTAGTACATGTTATAGATTAAATGGTAAAATGGCTTGCCATACACTCTTTGTATGCTTCACTGATCATAAGTAGGCATAAAATCTCATTTTATTTTTAAAACACTGTCCCCCTTCTTTTCCTCAGTTGCTGTCTCCCTATGGAGTTTCCATGGCTACTTGGTCACATGATCTAACAAAGCCCCTCCCTCTGCCCTGAGGTGACTGTCACAGCGGTTAGTCAGACTCGACCACCCAACCAGGATACGATCTGACTGTATATCTGAGCATGTGTGTTTTTGTTTATATGCATGCATATAGGTTGGAGCTAATGCGTGGATGCACCTCTGGGTTTTGCCATAGACACAAATCCACAACTACAGTAAAATAAAGGGTCATTTAATGATTTAAACAGTTTTACAGCTGTAAATTCTATATTTTGCTGAACAAGATTTGATGTGATTCTTCAGCTTAGCTTTTCAGTCTTTCCTCTGTTGCTTCTTTTCCATGTGAGGAAAAGGTGGGTCATGAAACTGCTGCCTTGTGCTAGAGACAGAAAAACGGAGAGACAGCCAACCTTTCACAGATAAATTTCTGCATATCTGCGCACAAGCAGCCAAAGCACATCTGCCTACAGTCTGTCAAGCTTTCAAGACATCTCCATGTGGACAACCAACCACTGCTCTGTGAGTGTGTACAACTCTATTCCTCCCGCCAGTCAACTTTACTTCAAAGAATCACACTGGCCGGCTCTCAGTGCTCTGTCATCTCTGCTCAAATTCTCTCTTACTGTCAAAACTCTTTTAAAATGAAATGACTTTATACATTGACTTTAAAAACTCACTTCGATAACTTAGTCAAGGTTTCCTATAGCCACATAAATTGACCTTTTTAATATTCCAAATTGAATTACATCACACTAAGGTACACATTAAATTTTTCTATTCTATTCTATTCTATTCTATTCTATTTTGTTTGATAGAAAAAAAAACTGACTTTATAATTTAAAAAACACATTTACATCCTTTTTATCTTCTATTCTTTTTTATGCATTGGATAAATTTCGAAGTACAGTACATGTGTACATTTTTCTGATTTATTCTGTTATTTCTATTACTCTACATTTAATATATGTTTAATAGTTGGTTAAGTCCAAAGTAATTTATATAGCATTCAATGTACAGATTTCTATTCTATTCTATTCTATTCTATTCTATTCTATTCTATTCTATTCTATTCTATTCTATTCTATTCTATTCCATTTTGTTCTGTTATGTTCTATTCTATTCTGTTCTATTCTATTTAACAGAAAAAGTGACTTATTTTGAATTTACAGAACACATTTACATTCTTTTATCTTTTATTTTGTTTTACAAGTTTATGCATTGAGTAGATTTCAAGGTAACATTTAAAATTTCTTCTAATATATTGTGTTATTTTTATATTCTACATTTAATATTAGTTTGGTAGTTGGTTAATTGCATTCAATGTACAAATTTCTATTCTATTCTATGTACCCTTTTCACAAGACTGTTATGACACAGTTACCAGTCATCAAATTCTTAAATTGTTGAAAGTAATTAATATTTCGATTTTTAAGATAACATATGAACATTTATATGCATTCATGCAGTTAACTTTTCCAGCCAGGTTTTTTTTAGCACACTCTCAGAAAAAAAAGGTACACAGTGTGTAATGGAAATTCATTTTTAGATGAGCTTTATATGTTAGAAATTTGTCTAAGACTCATTTTTATATGTGCATGTATCTGTGTTCTCCATATGTTCATCATAAAACCTGTGTGTACATTTTTTATACATAACTATGTTTCTTTAGGTGAATGCTTTTTAATTATCCTAAGAATTTCCCTTATCTGACTATGTAGGGGTGAACACATTTCTTTTCTCTGGGTACGCATCACTGGAATTTATGGTCTATACATCACCTGAGGTACGGTTGCTTAAGAAGGATGTGTGGTTGTTATGAGCATATTGCACGAACAGCAGAAGACGCCTGACGTAATTGTAGATGAGGCCTTATTGGGAGTTGACCTCGTAAGCAGTACAAACTAGATAAAAAGGTGAACACACTTTGCTTTAGTATCTCACTCTGCAGAAACTGTTGTTGCTGTATGATTGTGATCTTCCTTATAAAGAATAAAACTTTGAAAACACATCCCGGGTAAGACATTTGTTTCTTGACCATTGAGAGAGCCTCCTTAGAGAAAATAGCCACTACACAGTGGTACAAATATTGTTCCTAGAGGAACAGTTTTGTACCTTTGTAAAGGTTGTACCTTGTATGGTACAGAAAAGACCAATAAAACTAAATATTAAAACTAACTAAATAAATATTACTGGAAAGGCAAAATGATTTTATAAATAATTTTCATATTAAAACATGAATCATCATTTAAAAGCTTATGTTTAAAGAAACTCATAAACATTAATTATTAGGTTCTATTTTATATAACAACTGGTAAAAAACTATAGGTATTGTAAACTAAACACTTAGGGCATTTAATTAACATTCTTTAAGCATTTTCTGATAAATACATTTTCATTATTGATATCCACACCTTTTAGCATTTACTTTCCACTACGCACATGAGCTGGCAAAATCCTGCATGTGCAAAGTGTTCATGCAGACATTTTAGTGTTGTAAAACTAATCAAATATTGTGCATATCTCATTACAATACTTTTGTATAATTCTATTTTTTTTTTATTATATATCTGTATTGTATTTGCAGGTTTTAAACACCAAAGGTCCATTTTGGTTTTCCATGGTAGAAGTAATGTCCTTAAATGAACAAACTGCATTAGTACAAATTAGTTTTTTTGTCTTAAGGGTCAATTCTGTTCCATAAAAAGGTACTACCCCAGTGACAAGGGTTCCCCTTCGGTTGGGGAACTTCAGTGCTATTAAGTGGATTTGATATTGAAAATCCACGTATGGGAAGGATTCGGTTCAGAAGCCGCTTGTCTGAAAGAGTATTGAACGGGCCAATGAATGCAATGAATTGGCAGCGTAAGCTTGCACAGGTGTGCTTCATTGCCAATTATCCCAGCATATAAGCACACCTGGAGCGAGCAAATGCCATCCTTTTCGCTTCAGAGACTTTCTGATCAAGTCGATGAGGGTTCCTCCTGCTGTGATCCAGCGATTCCGAGCAAACGAGTGCATTCTCCCGGTCCAGAGTGTGTACACGCAGCGGCAGACGGTCTAGCTTGGTTTCCCCCTTGCCTGGCGTTCTTTAGGTCCAGTCCTCCGGAGCGGTGCGTATAAAGTTGCAAACTTCACAGAAAGAGCAACACAGTCGTGCTGCACGTCCTTTTCAGGACGGTGCTCCAACTGTGCGTTTCTGGATGCGGTGGTTTCCTGTCCTCGGATGATGGGTAAGGGCACTGCGTTGCACGCCTGGGGGGTCCAGCATGTTAATGCGCTGCTCGCAGGCAGTTCATGACGTCATTGCGATGCCATGACTGTTGCGCAGTAAAGATTGCGGCTAGCCTTTGCAAAAGGGCAAACCACCCCAGTTGTCCCCTACTCGCCCACGGGCCCGCGGACCTCCCGCTTCTCTAAGCGCTCCATCCAAGCTTCGGGCGGGTGAAGCGATCCGTCTAACAGATGGTAGCCCTTACGCTCGATGACACCGGAGACCAGACGTCCACCGCGACATCAGAGGGTGGTCTTTCATTGACTGATAATGATCCAGACCCGCTCGCCCCCTCCGAGCAGGTGAGCAATGTCAAACGGATCCTGAAACGGACATGTTAGCCATGCTTTCCCGAGCTGCTTCGGCCGTTCGTGGGTTGGAGGTGGTTTATCCCCCAGCTCCGCGGCCAAACCGACTAGAGGGGTGTCCCCTTCTTCCCGGAGGTGCACAGTAGGCTCACGCGGTCTTGAAGATAACTTTTTTCTGCTCGTGCTGCGTGTCCCTCCACCCTCACCACTCTTGACGGTGGAACGGCCAGGGGGTATGTGGCAATTCCTCAGGTTGAGTGCGCGATGGCGGTTAATCCACGCGGCGCCTGTTCTTGGTGGGGTCCGCCTCGTCTTCCATCCAAAGCCTGTAAGTTATCTGCCTCCCTCGGAGCTAGAGCTTACAAGGCTGCGGGCCAGGCTGCTTCCGCCTTGCATGCGATAGCCAACTACCAGCGCTACCAAGCGCAGGAGCTGGCCAAGCTGCACAAGGGTGGGTCCAACCCAGGCTTACGAGCTTCGCACTGCCGCCGACTTAGCTCTTCGGACTACTGAGTCCGCTGCGTGTGCGTTGGGGAGGAGAATGTCCTCATTAGTAATCCAGGAGCGCTACCCCTGGCTGATATGCGCGAAGTCGACAAAGTCCACTTTCTTGACTTCCCCATATCCCAAGCCATGTTCGGCGACACCGTCTGTGAATTCACCCAGGAATTCAAGGCGGTGAGAGAGCAGTTGATGGGTGATGTCTTATCGGCGGTCCGTAGCCCGCTCCGCCCGCCGTGCCATTCATACCTGCTCCTCGCCGAAGGCGCCCGCCTACGAGAGCTGCACCGCCCCCGCACACTCCTCTGGCGAAGCGAGCGCGTCGAGCACCTCAGAAGCAGGCAGCCTCCCTGCCCAGAACGCCGCTAAGTCTGGGACGCTATGCTTTCTAGCTTGCAGATTCGGTGCGTTTCGCCAGTGGCTCACGAGCGCTGGGAGGATGGTCTCCTTTCTCCCACCCCTCGAACCTCCCCTCCGGAGCTCGGGTGCAGAGTGAGATCAAATATCTCACCTCCAGCTTTTCCGTGGGACCTGCACGCTTCCCGGATCAGCACACCCACTCCGCGCTGCCCCACTGCTGGTACATCAGCGATTGTAGCGATGAGTCCATTAGCGGGAGCTCTGCCTGCCTGGTTAGCGCGGGCCAGCTCTTCGTGGTGGCTCATATGCACAATCAGATTCGGCTATGCGATTCAGTTCGCGAAACGGCCCCCCAAGTCACGGGTGTGTATTCACCAGGGTCAGCCCCCTGTCCGCCCCTGTCTTGCGAGAGGAGATTGCTGTCCTCCTGGCAAAGAATGCAATCGAGCCACTCCCTCCAGCCGAGATGGAGAGCGGGTTTTACAGCCCACACTTCATCGTGCCCAAAAAGAGCGGTGGGTCACGGTCAATCCTAGATCTGTGCGTTTTGAAACGCTGTCTGCACAAACTGCCGTTCAGAATGCTCACGCAGAAGCGCATCCTCCGGTGCGTTCGTCCTCTGGGTTGGACTGCAGCATTAGACCTGATGGACGCGTATTTCCATGTCTCCACTTTTCCTCGCCACCATCAGTTTCTGCGGTTTGCGTTGGAAGGTCGAGCTTGGCAATACAAAGCCCTCCCCTTCGGGCTCTCTCTGTCTCCGCGGGTCCTCATCAAGCCCGCGGAGGGTGCCTTAGCCGCATTACTCATACTCAATTTTCTTGACGACTGGCTGATTTTTGCCCTCTCTCGAAGCAATTGATTATGCACAGAGACAAAGTGCTCCGGCACTTCCACCTGTTGGGGTTTCAGGTCAACCAAGAAAAGAGCAAACTCGCCCCCGTGCAGAGGATCTCTTCTCTCGGGCTGGAGCTGTACTCGGTCATGGCACTCTCCGGAGAGCGCGCTCAGCTGATGCTGTACTGTCTGAGAGAGCTCGACAGTAAAATATTGGTCCCACTGAAACTATTTCAGAGGCT